ATATGATTGAAGAGTTTAACTAAGTAAATATTATGTAAATAATAATTTAGAGTTTTTGTCATATCATTACAAATAGGCCTTTAAATGTGTTTTGCTTTAGTGTAGAAATGTAAAACATTTCATAGTAAGAGCTTTGAGTTAGTGGCGTTCTAGTGTTGTTATGTATTAAACAAACTGTCAATCAATCAATCATGTGTCATCTGTCTGTTTACGCTACCTTTTTGTTGACGTTTTGATCATAAACTGCAGGCGGACCGGCTCTGGATGTGGCTGCCCAGAGAGGAGTGCTGATGCCCTCACTTTTCAACGGGAGAAATAGAAACAGATGCATTCCTCCTCCACTGTGAGCGGTTTTCTTCCATTACAAGGAAATAGCCAAAAAATACCAGATTTCCTAACATTAACCCCAGAGAAACTTGCAGTTCTCCTTGGTGAAGGGATAACACCTCCTGGAGCAGCTAAATATGTATCTGCTTTCCCCCACCAAAAAAATAAAACTATTGAGTAGTTGCATTAAAGTATTGTAATGCAAAAACATTTCTCTGTCAAGTGCAAAAGCACTCTGCTTAGTCGGGGTTTCACACCTTCTTATCTGAAGCTGATCACTAAGAGAAGAAATTTCAGTCTGCTCAGTGTAAGATGTGCGTGTTAGGTAATGAATAAAACAGAGAAGTTTGTTCTCATGTTGAAATGTTTAACTACGGCTCAGAGGTATATAGATACCAGTGGTTAAACAAAGAGGAACAATAGTGGGAAAAAGAATACCACTGAAGTAATCTTCTGCCTGTATCTGTATCTATGTCTGTTCTGTATTAGAAACTGTTCAACAGTAGGTTGGCAGAAATTGTTCAGTCAATTTTGCAAATAAATATGGATTTAATTAGATCACGTTGACGCAGTTTAACAGTAAACATCACAAATACTACATGATGATCTGAGGACTGAAAGTATAATCAATAATGTTAATTCACAGCCTATGAGACTTTCTGGTTTATCAGATCTTTATAGTAATTTAAGCTGTGTAACCTCGAACACAGCAGCTTCTAGGCATAGTACCACTAGGCACTTTTACAGTGCTTGTTTCACCCAGAAGGGGGCGTGGTCGTTCTGAAGACAAGAAAGTGAGGTATGGCTGCTCTCCTCCATTGGGCCTCTCTTGCTTAGCTCTCATGTCCGATTGGTAAATTAAATTATCTATCAAGAGTCAGAGCTGACAGGCTGATAAAACACATTGAAAATAAATCCTCTTTTTAATCCTAAAAGTTTAAAAATAAACCCCAAGATCTCCTCCTGCCAGTAAATATCTCAAGATCAGAGCAGAATCCAGTTATGTAGTTTATCCCCTGTGGTTTGGCCTGGCCTCCTCATTGCCCTAAAAATACAATAAAAAGTTGTTTTTTTTATTAATATTATACGGTATTGTAATAATTATTATATTACTTTTATATGTCACTTTAAAGTGACTAATGTCACCAATGTACTATATATGTCAATCATAATAACTTAAATACTAATAATTCAAATTAAATAAAAAATCTAATGAAAAGTATAAAGATGAAATTGAGACACAGATCAGGATTAATAATGTGGGCTCTCATGGAAGGTGACAGAAGTATCCCTCCTTTGATGAGTGTTGTGTGATGAAGTGTTTTAAAGGTTGTAGACCCAGAAAAAGGTCAGGCCTGGATAATATAGGTAGTCGTTGGCTTATAGTATGTAGAATAAATGTGGATTTAATTAGATCACGTTGATGCACTTCAACAGTAAACAGGAAGTCTATAAGCTTTCTGGTTTACAAGATCTTTATAGTAATTCAAGCTGTGTAACCTCAAAGTAAAAATAATTTTAAAGCAAAATGATAGAAAAAAACATTCTTGAGAATTCAACGTCTTTGGTCTGCCTGTCAAAAATAGTTTTTATTTGCAAAGTGCAATGATGGCGTATATCTGACAAGAGTCATAACAATATGGCTGTAACTGAAGAATAGTTATGTTTTAGAAAATAACAACTGGACAGATAACTTGTTGTTTGTGGGGCAGCTTTGCAAGTTAACATTAAATGTGCTTTCTCTTTTTTCTCTATTATTATACTAACACTGGTCAGAGTTTTCACACCTTCTTATCTGAAAGCTGATCACTACGAGAAGACGTTTCAGGCTGCTCTGTGTCGGATGTGCATAGGGAATGTGTGGCATGGGTTAGTTATTGAATAAAGTAGAGAGGTTTGTCTGAAAGCTGCTGACTGAATCGAAGCGGAGGGCATGAAACACTGAGGAGACATTGGGAGCTGTGATTCGGACTGTTGCTGATGATACTCGGAGTCTCTAATGGTGAGATGTTTTAAGTTTTTAATTTGACACATTTTATGAAGCTGTTTATAGGTTACTGAAAAAATAGCAGTTTGACATGATCTTCAGTGAATCGTGACACATAAGCTGAAGTGAATAACAAGCTGATTATCTGGTTATCATAGCACCTGTCAGTGGGTGGGCTATATTAGACAGCATTGACATTTTTGCTACAAGTTGGATGTGTTGTACGCAGGAAAAATGGCCAGTGTGAGGATTTGACGCGACTTTAACAAGGGCAAATTGTGGATGGTTTAGAGCATCTGTGTCATAACATCTCAGAGAACTGCAGCTCTTGTGGGGTGTTCCCGGTCTGCAGTGGTCAGTACGCTTCAAAGGTGGTGCAAGAGGGAAAGCGGCGTTAGTGGGTGGCCAAGGGCTTATTAATGTATGTGGGGCGTGAGGCTGGCGCTGTTAGTCTGATCAAAGACGAGCATACTGTGAGTTGAAACCGCTTGAAAAAAGATGCTGGTTTGATAGAAAGGTGTCAGAACCCAGTGCATCACAGTTTTGTTGGTTTGGGGGGGCTGCAGAACTTAGCCACCAGGGTGCAACAGGTGTCATGATGTAATCATTCAATATATTTTTTAAATATAATTAAATATAAATAGTTTAATTGAATGCCATTAATTATGATGATTTTAACGTACTTACATTCCACACTGCTCACAGGCCGTGTAATTCTCAGCTACAGAAATTAATTTCCTGTTTGCAAACTGTGGTCTGAGAGAGACAAGTTACAGCAACCACTGTTTCTACTGATTTAGTAGGAGTGAAAATTGTTTAATTACTGTTAACTTACCTGACTGTGATGGCAGATAATGCTGCAGTTTGAAGACTCTTATTTGAACTTTTCTAAAGGATGTTTTTTATCATTTAGGCAATCAGAAATCAGTTTCCGGTAATTGTGCACATTACAGTAAAATTTAAAATGATGAACTTCGCAGCTTTTTTATATGATTAATCTATAAATTATACTTTTAGGATCCGAGCAGTTCAGATATTTCATTAATGCCTGTGAACTGAAAGTCACATAAAGTTTAAGATAACACTGCATAACACTGGTATGATACATCCCAGAGAATACACTGTAAAACCCTGCTTAAGGCCTGGACTTCTCCTTGATTTTCCTGTCCTGTCATGCATCCATTTTACTTCGATTTCCACCCAGGGCTTTTACGAGGGCTCCTACGGTTTAGACAAACGACACTTTCTTGGCTCAGAACTTTAAACAGGTTGTCAATGCGCTTATAACCTTGGGGGATGTTCCTTTACTTCTTCTACACAGTGCCCACACCCGCACCCTGTCTCAGGGAACTGATAAGGATACTGACAGACTCGAGGAATCAGCACATCCAGAAAGATACCGTTCTAACTCAATCCCAGCACGAGGAAAACTCTCTCCGTTACCCGTCACTAACGACCCTCGCAGACAGATACTGACACAACTGACAATTATGTACCTCACCAAACAACATACTATGCACGCCCCTATACGTACCCAACTTCACCACACAAAAAATCACTAAAGTACGTCATACACATCCATTGTACCACTAATATAAGCGTACTACCTATACAAGACTCAATATACAGTAATAAATAACTTAACGCGTGCAAAAGAGTGCAAGAGATGAATCGACAGATGTTATACTTTTCGGAGTCCAGCGAATCTTACAGAGGGGGGTGTCTTGACCTCTTGGGGAGGCGTTGCTAGACGAGTTGATGACCAAAGAGCAGAGAATTGATCTTCCTGTGGCGCTGCATGTCCGGTGGCATCTTGGGTCGAGGAGCGGAGTCTTTCTGCTGGAAGGACTCCCTCTCGCGGGCCTGTTGGTCCTAGCGCCGGGTCGTCGCCACAAGTTGATCCAAGGATGGACCTGAAGCTGACAGCCATCCCTGGCCTCTCTGCATCGCCGGTCGCTCGCCAGGAGG